AGGACCAATACACATGGAGAAGACACCCTCTGGAATTGCAGAGAGATCCAGGGAGTTGGCAAGTATCTTGTTAAACTGTGGTTTGAGTCTAAGTTCTTTAACATTCTCCAAATTCTGAGTAGTTTGTTCACCAAGACCCATTTCTATCCGGTCTATCTGTTCTTATTCTCATTCCTTGGAATTAAGCCTCCTGAAGGAGCTGTTGAGCTCCCCTCTAACCAAATGAGTTGATCATGGATTATGAATACATATATAATCGCCATATTTTTCCCACCCTGAGGCTTTGTTGGCAATATAGGAAGTTGGAAGTTTAAATACCAGCCCTTCTTCACCCTCATAAAATATCTGAGTGGTAGTTTTATCTTGTTGTAAAGGTTGATTTCGTATTCACATGATAGTATCTTAAGTTAGAGCTTTATTCTTAAAAAAATATTCTTCCAAGTTTTCAGGTATAGAATTAATGAGGTTTATATATTTTTTACTAACCTCTTATTTTACAATCTGAGCTATTTCCATTTCTGCAGTTTTAGTGGATTTACTGAATTAACAGAAAGGGAAGTAAGCGCCTTGTCACCTAAAATGGGCAGATTCAGAGACACGCAGAATCACTGTCCTCCAGACCCCGAGAGACGAGACCTTTCTTTACTGATGAAATGTGTGCTTTCTCCTCCCTCCCAGGTATCAAGTTATATCAAAGAGCAGACTCAGGAACAGTTTCAGATGATAATCATTTCCCTAAAAGAGGAGCTATATTGCAAAGCTGATGCACTGATAGGCATCTATCCAGAGGTAAAGATAAGTAAATGGGGGAGAGGAATAACATCACCTTAGAGTGTCCTGACAGCACAATTATAAGTTCCTAGTGAAGTCTATAGATACTGTTTGATTTCTGCAGTGTATCAATATAGGCTTAAATGATTTTTTAATCAAATAAGACTTAACAGTAACTACTCAGATATTTTCCATGGCGGTACACAGAGATTTCAGATATACTTTAGGTGAAAAAGAAAATCGAAAATTGCAGGACAGTATGATAATTGTTTATAAAATAATAGTACATCTTAACTTAGAATAAACTGTCAGTATTGTTTCATATTTCTGTAATGTTTGAATGTTGTAGGCAAAAACAAATGCATTGTGGTAGAACAAGGAACTATCTTCCAAAACTAACAAAGGAAAAAAAAAAAAAACAAAGAAATTGACAAGTTCCAAGTTGTATAGTAACTTCTAGAATTCAAACACACCTTTCTTGAGCCACCGAAAATACTTAACCTGAGCTAATGGAGCAGGGCAACTCATTCAAATCATTCAATTCTTGGACAATTAGGTTTTGCTTCCTGTGTTTTCCTTTAAGCTAAGATAAAAATTAACTTCCCTTCCTGTGCCTAATTAATGTTAGGGGATCACTGGAAATATGCTGCCAGAGAGAAATGGAAGTTCTCATTACCAGTGTAGGCGAGGGATAAAACCTTTTCCTACCCAACTCAGGTTCTCTGGCTGGGGCCCTGTAAATTAGACCAGCAATAGGTAGATTAACAAGAGAAAAACAGGTTATTAATATGTGCATCATGTGTGCACACATGGGTACACCCAGCAAGAGTTAACTCAAAGGGGTGGCTAGAACTTGGACTTATATACCATCCTAGGCTAAAATAAGGAAGAGTCTTGGGGCTTCTGGGCAGGGGAGGCAAGTGATGGGAAGGTGACCAGGAGAAGTACAGGAAACAAGGGCTGTTCAGTCAGATTTGCTCTGCAGACTGAGGTGCCTTCTCCACTGATAGAGTTAAGTGGAAAGGGTGTCATCTTTTACATAAATGTAAACTTCCTTTACAAAACGAAAACCTGTGCCTGGTTTTTGGAGCTTTTCCTACATCCGCTGGTTTTCAGTAGCCTCTGGCTCAAAACAATCCACATGCAAAACAAGCCTGTTTTCGGGTGGCATATTCAGGCACCCTTTACCAGATTAATATAAAACATAAATAAAGCTGATGTAAATGCAGAGGAGCAATACCTTTTGAGGTGGCTAGAAGGAGGTTCCTTTTCAAATGCAAATCTAGACTCACTGATGGCTCTTATTTTACATTTAATAGCACTTATTCCCTAAGTAAAGGAACTGACTTGTAACTGTCTTCTCTCCATTTCAGCATGATGACTGCATGTTCAGCCGAGTTTTGACCCTAGATCTGTCTCAGTATCCAGATACTGAAGACAGAGAAAGCAGCAGGAGGCCCGCCAGGACACAGAATGCCCCTGTGCTGTAAGAGCAGAGTCCCACAGCGGCCAGGCTAGTCGCTGCTCTCACTCTGCCGGTCAGCCCCACAGCACTCTTGAGTGACAGACTTCTGGAGCAAAAGCTAGACAGCCTGTGCGCCACTTATGAAAGAGCTTAATTGCTACCGGGCAAAGGTGCTGTAGCTCACTTCCATTCAGGAGTGCCCAGGCCCCATTCCAGCAGGTAGTATTTTTTGTGAGTTAGCTCTGAATGAGTTTAAAAAAGAAACAACCATAGTTTTAACTTCTATTTTGAAAGCCGGTCAGAAAGTTTTCAAATCCTGCATCATCTTTACTCTGATCTCGCCTTGTATGTTTAAGTAATCTTTAAGGGAAACTCTGAGTTTCTAAGGTGTTAAACCTGTGTTTTATGGAAAATTATTTCAGAGGAACTGAAGTCAGTATTGAAAATGCCAATAAAAAAGTCTAATTTCAAATGTCTACCATCTACAGTTTTAGAAACAAAACTTTAAGGTGAAATTAAATTATGTCTCCTTCAATGCAATTTAAATTTTTCTGAATATAATTTCTGTTAAGGAAACACTGAAGAACACAGGTTTTCCCAAGTGACAACTGACTTCTCCACGTACAGTCGTCCTTATTATCTGTGGGCATCACGCATGCCAAAATCCAAGCACGCTCAAGCCCCTTATTTAAATTGGTGTATTTGCATACAACCTGTGCACATCCTGTCACATACTTTCAGTCATCTCTACGTTATTTATAATGCCTAATACAATGTAAATGCTATGTAAATAGTTGCCTGTATGCGGCAAATCCAAGTATTGATTTTTGGCATCTTTTTTCCCCCTATTTTTTTTTTTGGGGGCTGCACCACGCGGCTTGCAGGATCGTATTCCCCCAACCAGGGATCGAACCCGTGACCCGTGCAGCGGAAGCACGGAGTCCTAACCAACCACTGGACCACCAGGGAATTCCCTTTCCTATTTTCTTTTTGTTTTTGTTTTTGTTTTGCGGTACGCGGGCCTCTCACTGTTGTGGCCTCTCCCGCTGCGGAGCACAGGCTCCGGACGCACAGGCTCAGCGGCCATGGCTCACGGGCCCAGCCGCTCCGCGGCATGTGGGATCCTCCCGGACCGGGGCACGAACCCATGTCCCCTGCATCGGCAGGCGGACTCTCAACCACTGCGCCACCAGGGAAGCCCCCCTTTCCTATTTTCAATCCAAGGTTGGTTGAATCCACAGATGTAGAACCCATGGAAACAGAAGGCCCACTGTACATTATTGGGGGTAGGAAAGAAAGTTGCAGAGTTTTCAATAGTACTTCATTTCCATTTAAAAATGGAATTAAAAAATTCTAAGGTGCTGGTGGTCTTGTATTTAAGGCTGCTTTGGGCCCAAGTGCTAATTAATTAATCAAGGAGTGGCCTCCTGAAGTAATGGAATCGCTTTTGAACAACATTCATTATTTCAGGTAAAACTTGCTTTCCTGTGCCCCATCAGCTAGTCTCTAAGAACTTGAGGCAGCAGAAGCCACTAGTCCTTTGTTCCTTTTTTCAGTGCTGGTATACCATCTAAATCACCGCCGCCTTCTGCCTTGAAAGGCATCAGCTTTACATTGAAATGTCCCTTCGGTGACACGGAGCTCAGTGTAGACCCTTTTCTCTGCCTGGGCTGTTATCTCTGTCTCGTAACTTGGACTCGTGGATCGCCGGTGATCCTTGAGTAGGACCACTGTTTTGTTCTAACGCAGTACACCCACATTCCTGAAAACCCCGGCGCCATGCAGAACTGCACAATGAAAACCACCAGCTGATGGGAAACATGGGGTCCAAAAAAAAAAAGACAGGAACTTAATAAATAGCTGGTTTTATACACACTAAGTAGTTAAGAAATTCACAAATACTAGAGCATATATGGCACTTCATCTCAAAAACATTCAGACGCTGGCTTGTGAAATGGGCAACCCATCAGGTGAAGCTTGCTGCTGAGGTCGAGTGGGGGAAGGCTCGTCTGAGGGAGCTGGCCGGGGCTGAGGGCTGGGTGGCGTATCCCCCGCAGCTCCGTGCAGCCGGCTGCAGTCTCCCGCCTTCACCTAGAGCAGGTCCAGCAAACTTCTTTAAGGGCCAGAGAGTCATACGTATTTCAGGCTTCGATGAGGAAGCAAAGAGGCTATTGCGTAGGTGTCTGTGTAACTATTATTTAAAATACAACCATTTAAAAATGTAAAAACTATTCCAGCTCGAGGCAGCAAACAAATCCATACTTAGTCACTCCCTGACTCAGTGTTTCTCAGAGGCAAAATTATAAGTAAGTGAACGAGTTAGGCTCAGATTGTTTCTTTCTAACATATCAATCTTGTTGGAATAAATTTGCATTTAAAAATAAGAATCACAGCAGAGCTGACTAGATATATTCACTCATTACAACAAGAAGGCCTCCGATTCTTCAGCATGGCACTCAGAGCTCGTCTTGAACTGGCTCTACTTTACTTTTCCAGTTTTATATCCTGTTTCACATCATTTTCCATGCTTGTAATATTGCTACACCCTATGTATGACCAACTTTCAGATTCACGTATCTTGCCCGGATTGCACTTTATAAATGTGTCTTTTTTAAAAAAGCCAACTTAGTTTGCTTTTCAAAAAGTTTAATAAACACATTCAAGTAATCAGTTTCACAGCTGAGTGGCAACTCAAGGTAAAAATTCTCATTAAATACATGATACCATACCTTGTCATAACTAAAGAAAAGTCGAGCAAACGGAATTGAAGATAAAATTTTATTTCTGACCAGAATAACATAAAAGATTTGTTTTCCATGCTTCAAAAAGAAAAGAAACAAAAAAGGTCTTAAGCAACTCTCTGGCTTGTCTCTCATTCCCTACACATCCCAACTTCATGCTTCACTTTCCCTAAGCCCGTGGGGAGCTACAAGACAGGCAGCCTTGACACAGAAACCAAGCAGGGACAGCGCCAGGGCCGCAGAGCAACTCCCTGGGCACGAGCACGCAGCTCGGCACGCCATCTGCCCTGCGCGAACCCTGACAACGTCTAAAGTGTTACAGACCCTTGGCAAGTTTTGCCTACTTCACTCTGTGCAAATCCTTTAATATGGGCTGTGAGGAGAGGATTTTGAGAAGAACAGAAAGGTTGGACCTTACCCCGTAGAAAAAAGGCTTGGAAAGCTTGGAATTTAAAAGTTTAGAACTCAGTCTTGTGCTCCACTTACAATTTCTCAGTTATCCATCGCATGACACACTTGGACACTGACCTGTGCTTCTGAAAAGGCCCTCTGGCTCCTGGAGACTTCACTTCTTAGTTACAGTTAGACCTGCCATTCTGTAGAGACCAAGTACTAACAAAAAAAAATTACACAACTCCAAAGAAGCCTACAGGTCAAGTCATTCCTAAAACATACGCTCTCACTGGTGGACCCAGTGCCTGCAGTCTCCACTCCTTCTTTACTATTTAACAACGTAACAAACACACTTCTAATTTTTTTTCTACACTAACGGGTGTTTCCACAAAAATTATAAAATCTAAGTGTCTAGTGTCTTATTTTCTCTTTGGCAACTACTGTTGCTTGGACAGTCTTTACTTTCCCCCTTTTATTAGAGAAAAACACCACCTGACAGAGGGCATATCAAATGGGAGTCGGGAATACCAGGTATGTCCCTGCCCATTGGTTTGGTCCCCGAGGTAGCTGTGTATCAGTCCTGACAAAGGACACCTGCCGTGTATGCGTCACCTCCCAAGCAGTTCAACACAACGCCTAACTCCCTCACCCAGCCTCTGAGGGCCACACACCCGCATGGCTCTTTTGGGGTATTTGACGGTTCAGATCAAGAGGTCCTGTGTGGAGTTCTCTAACATTCCTCATCGTTTGGGATGGCTCTGTGGTTACAGAAGGCTGGTTTTCAAGTTGCAGGTTTCATTGGTCTTAAAGATTTCAAGACCCTCCAGCATCATCTGTTTAAACAAAAAGAAAGGAATTCTTTAAAGAACATTAAAGCTGGTCTTACAAAAGTGCCTGCAATGGGATTTTCATTCCAAAAACCAATGATGGGTTTTCTTATGTGCTGAAGACTTTGAAAATACCCCCATAATGGAAGTAGTGGCCACTGTCTAAAAATGGCTTTCTGAGTTACAAATACCACCACGGGACAAAGGAAATGATAACATTAGATTTGCAAAGCTCTACGGAAGTCTCGACCCGAGAATGTGAGTGCTTCTCCCCTTCTCAGCGGACTGGAAGAGGGAGCAGCTGCCAACAGTGAGGGGCAATTTCAGCACACACACGGCGGGAGCCTGTTGACTTGCAGAGAAGAGCGAAGGTTCAGGGTATGTGCACAACGGGACTGCCTGCAGGTGGGAGCCTGCCGTGCTGCTCTGAGCCCTCCGGCCTGCAGGTATGGCCAGCAGCACTGAGAAGATGAACCTTGGTCTCACCCACATGCAGAGCAGGACAAAGCTTTCTGTAAGAAAGACCAGAGGGCGCTCTCTACACAGACAGACCTGCTTGGAGAGGAGGCCGCCGGTGTGGGTGCTGGCATCCAGGGGATCCCCGAGGAGCCCACGGACTGGCTTGCCCACTGCTCTGGAGCCAAGTCCACCAGGCAGTCCGCCCTGCTGCCCTATACACACACCACCAATCCAGAGGGCGGCCTGGGGCAGAAAAGCTACGCACGTGCAGCAGCAGCCGTGGCAAATCCACACGGCAGACTGCGGAACAGTCACCCGGGCCCACCTTCTTCTTAAATGCCGGCAGGCAACTGAGGAGCCCCAGACATGGGGGAAACACGCAGCAGGAAGGAGACTAGAGGAGGAGAGTCTCTCGTGCCGGAGGGAACAACTCAAAGAACACTAGTTTTATTTTTTTTTATTTAGTCACAGATGTCCCTAACTACTGGATTCACAATCCAGATATTTGCTAAAAGTCTGCCAAGAATTTTATCCAAAATACTATCAAAACGGAATTCTTCCTCTAAAGATATGTGCACTGAAGTTGGGCAAAATGTAAGGGGGGTGGGCGCAGGGTCAGCCGCGGCTGAACTCAGCCGGCCCCTCAACAGGCTCACCAACACACACTCACCGCCACCGCCGCCCGCCAGCAGGAGCCACCACCTCACCTGTCTCCTCCCGCCGGGCCCAACTCACTCTGCAGGCAGCCAGAGAGGACTGCCACGTTTGCTTATTTGTTTAACGTTTATTATGAATTTTTATATCCATAACAAACTATTTCAACAGTCCGCGTTCCTTGTGGTGTGGAAGGAAAATGCAGTACCACAGTACTGCTCAAACATACGCACTGAGGACCTAATTTAAATGTTACGTAAGTAACCGGTAGTATGTTAAATGCTTCATAGCTCTCCGAAATTCTTGGTGGATTATTACATTGGTGTTTAAGAGTGTTTCACTGAGGTTTTCTTATCTAATAAAAAATAAACTCTGTTATCCGAAAATCCTCTATTCTAATGTTTTCAGGAATAGAGTAGTCAGATAACCAGGGAAGTCTCTGGTATCTTTAGAGATCTGAAAAGATACCGTAGTCCTAAAACAACAGATGCTATGAGAAAAACTAAATCAGAAAACAAGAGCTCTCAGAAATGAACAATAACACCCAAAATAAAAATTTAACACCCAAAATTAAAAAGAAAAGGGTGGAACATACTTTGAGAATCCTCCAGAAAGTTTTTGAAGACAATTAAGACATTAGAGAAAACACAGTAGAAATCGGTCCAGGAGGTCCCAACTAATACGACTGAAGGAAGAGGGAACAGAGGAGCCCGATTATTCCAGAACTGGAGGGAAGAAAACACTGAGCAAGGTATATAAAAACCTTGCTCACCTATACACATCCTCATGAAGATTCTAAATAGCAAGGAAAAAGAAGATCCTAAAAGCTTCCAGAAAAGAAAGAACAGGTCACCTACAAATCACAGAGACCTGGGTTGCAGCAAACCCTCTTCAACAGGAAACCTGGCCGCTTAAGACAGCGGAGTTCCAAGGGGGAATCATGAATGAAGAATCCCACGCTCCAACCAACAGTGATGAGCCGGTCCTCGGGGGGCCGGGGGCTGTGGGGGCTACCGGAGGAGGTTCTGGCAGCAGTGGGTGCGGTGGGCAGAAGGCAGACCTGGGCGGTGATCCAGGACAGCAAGGGAGGGGGCTCCAGGGTGACACGTCTGCAGGTGGTCAGGGGATGACTCGGAAAATGAGGGGCAGTATGACTGACAGAATACGTACATTTAAAAACGTTGTGGAATGTGATTTTTTGGGGGACAATAAGGAGAAAAGAATCTAGAAACTCCCCCCCAAAATGAAAGCAACACAAACACCACCAATACGCAACAACCAAAAGTGGGAGCGTGATTAATGGAACGTTAGGGAAAGAAACACACTGGACCTTGATACTAAGAACACGTCCTGCAGCTGGCACAGCAGTCATGGCACTGGACCCATGAACACAACACACAGCTGGCTAGCCAGGAAAAATACTTCCTGTGTTTTTAAGCAACTATTGTTTTCCAACTTTTAGAACCGACCTATAGACAAACTGGAGGGCTTCTTGCCCCTCAGTCCGTGACCACGATGATCAACACTGACGACGTAAAAACTGGTGGGCTTTGGGAAGTGAGACGAGGAAGGGGAGGCGAGAAGGGTAGGGGCCGTTACAGCCGCATCTTCATATCGAGAGGTCAGAAAACGTAAGTGCACTATTTAAAGAATGAGAAGGTACAGACTAGGGAAACCTGGAAGCAAGAGAGGGAGGGGATGCTAGCTCCCCTTTCCTGGGGGTGACAGAGATTGTCTATTTAAATAAACAGTTCAACTAAATATTTAAATAGTTTACATAAATCTCATTCAGTGATAGAGGTCACAAAAAACATGATTAAAAGTGGTTTTCTCTGGAAACTAAGGTGACATAAATCAGGATAGTGGTCACCCTCGGGTGGTGAGGGAGTGTGACTAAAAAGTGATGGGGCTTGGGGCGGGCAGGGGCAGGCTCCTGACACGTTTTCGTTTCTTGAACTGGAGGTAACCAGTGAGTTTTCGCAATTGTGTGTTCACTGTGGAAACTCACTGGGCTGCTTACAATTTGTGTACTTGGCGAGTTTCTCTTCAATAACGGGCTAACTTAAATAAACAGAAATTGTTAAAGTAGGAACCTCTGGGCAGCTGGAATGATCTATGTATCATTCCTTCCACTGAGAGGCTGGGGTATTAAAGCAAAGCACTATGACTGAAAACACCTCCAAATAAGGCCAATCCGCAAAAAAGAAAAGACATTACAGGGCTTCCCTGGTGGCGCAGTGGTTAAGAATCCACCTGCCAACGCAGGGGACACGGGTTCCAGCCCTGGTCTGGGAAGATCCCACATGCCGCGGAACAGCTAAGCCCGTGCACCACAACTAATGAACCTGCACTCTAGAGCCTGCGAGCCACAACTACTGAGCCCGCGCGCCTAGAGCCCGTGCTGTGCAACAAGAGAAGCCACCACAATGAGAAGCCCGCGCTCGCTGCAATGAGAGAAAGCCCGTGCACAGCAACGAAGACCCAACGCAGCCATAAATAAATAAATAAATAGAGTTTTTTTAAAAAAAGAAAAGATAAGACGTTATACCAGTATCTGATTGTCTGAGTTTCTTTGAAACTTCAATTCCATTTTCTTCTAACTTCCTCTTTGCACAGTCCTGGCATGCATTACCTGAAAGATGAAAACTTTTATTAAAAAACTTATCTAAGAACGGCTATCATCAAAAAGAACATAAACAACAAATGTTGGCAAGGATGTGGAGAAAAGGGAACCCTCGTACACTGTTGGTGGGAATGTAAACTGGTGCAGCCACTGTGGAAAACAGTATGGAGGTTTCTCAAAAAAACTAAAAACAGAGCTACCATATGACCCGGCAATCCCACTCCTGGGCATAGATCCGAAAAAAACAAAAACCCTAATTGGGAAAGATACGTGCACCCCGGTGTTCCCAGCAGCACGCCTTCAACTGCCAGGACACGGACGCGAGCGCAAGCGTCCGTCAGCAGGTGAACGGATCCGGAAGCTGTGGGGTAGGTCTTGGAGTACAGTGGATTACTACTACTCAGCCATAAGAAAAGAACAAAATGTTGCCATTTGCAGCAACATGGATGGGCTTGAAGGACGCCATGCTAAGTGAAATAACAGACAAAGACTGCATGGTATCACGTACACGCGGAATCTAAAAACTATAATAAACTAGTAACAAAAAAGCAGACTCACAGATACAGAGGACAAACCAGTGGTTACCAGTGGGGAGAGGGCAGGGGGGAGGAGCAATACAGGAGTAGAGGATTAAGAGGTAAAAACTATGAGGTGTAAAATAAGCTACAAGGGTATATTGTACAACACGGGGGAAATAGCCAGTATTTTATAATAACTATAAATGGAGTATAACCTTTAAAAATTGTGAATCACTATATCGTACACCTGTAACATATAACATTGTACAGCGACTATACTTCAATTTAAAAAACTGTTTTAATTTAAAAAACACCTATCTGATTTTACTGAAGCACTGACCAACTAATCCCTACCATACGCTACAGACGTCTATCAAGTTAATGCTTTTTTCAAAAGAAATGGATGACCCTGGGAGTCAGAGAACGCAGCTAAAACAAATGCGTCCTTTCCCACGGAGATAAGGGAGAAACGGAAAGCTGAGCGCGCCTGTTCCACAATTCCTTAACTGAAGCCCGTGCAGCACTACCAAGTTTCTGTCTGTGGCTCTGCTGAGAGGGGCAGGGAAACCGGGGCTGCAAGGCCTCCGGCTCCACTGACCAGAGCCCCTTCTAACCCAAGTGACTGACCAGCGTGGGGAAACCTGGCACTAAGTTCACCCCAGGGTGGACGCCGGGAGCCTCTGAGCGCAGTCGTACCTGGTCAACTCATAAATGGGCAGAGTCGAGCCCTGCAAGACGAGTATGGACATTTCAACCACGTAGTAGATAGAAAATTTTACACCAACGCTTAGAACCTTTGCAATTAAAATCTCTGAAGGGGATGGGTCAAATTATGCACTACCACGTGTAAAACAGAGAGCTAGCGGGAACCTGCGGTACAGCACAGGGAGCTCAGCTCCGTGCTCTGTGATGACCTAGGTCGGGGGGCGGGGGGGAGGGAGGGCCAAGAGGGAGGGGGTACGTGTATACATGGAGCTGATTCACTTCATTATACAGCAGAAACTGTAAAGGAATTATATCCGATTTAAAAAAAAAAAAATTAACTACATCTTAGACCCAACGGTATGATACAAATAGACTCCTGTTCTAACTCCCCCGGACTCTTGGTTCCAGGACAGGAAATTATTCCTGGCGCCAGTGGATGGCCCACGTTTGACAGAGCTGCTTCCCAGTTCAAGGGACCGTCACGCAGGTGTTGCCATCTATCATCTCTGGCGGGGCTGTCTTGACGCAACACGGGCTAAGCATTCAATGTGAGAAACACATCTATGATTTTATAAGTAAGAGCAGGAAAACGCTGGAACACGTAGGCAAAAAACAGGCTGGCAAAAGCCAAGATGTGCTTTACCGAACAACGTGGTGCTGTCCACTCGATCGGCATCTGGGGAAGAAAGGAGAACAGTCAGCAGAGGCCACCCCACAGCGCTTCCTCCTCTCCGCCCCCAGGGCCGACGTGAGGGCCGAACCCCGACGTGTGAAGCCCCCGAGCCGGCCCGGGCACGGGGAGCTGCCACCACGACTGCGGTTGCTGCGGACCCACCAGCCCCTCCCAGCAGGAGAAGCGCCTCAAGAACACGCGTACAGACGTCCCTAAGGACACGGTCACACATTACAAGGCCAAACGGCCTTCAGCCCCCAGCAGCCTGTCAAGTCCACTCAGCTGCCAGGGTCTGGAAGAGGGGGCCTGGGTGGGGACAGGAGGCCCCGCCAGCGGCGGCAGGCGCGGGAGCCCCGGGCGAGGCCCCGTGGGTCAGGAGCGGCGGCGCCAGCGCGCAGGCCCGCGCAGGGACACCCTGAAGGCATGTTCCACTCTGCTGTCAGTCCAGGACCCCAGCCCCAGCTTCAAAATACCTGGGCACTAACTCTCTGAGCCTATCTCATCAGCTCTAAAACCATCTACTTAGTAGCAGTGGATACTGTGACCAAAAGTGAAATAAGGTCAAGGATGTAAAATTCACAGCAGTGTGTAACACAGCAAGTGTCAGCTCCCTGCCTTTCCCTTAGTAAAAAAAAGTAGACTGCCACCCTAATGACGCTTTTATTAATGTGAATGCAACTTAAGTCAGTCCATCTTGCTAATTATTAGCAATTTGGAAAAGGACTAGTGGGAAGAAGCTAGACTGCTGGAGTATCTGTGCATTTGGTTCCCGTGACCTTCGCGTTATCTCTAGTCTTCAAGTTCATGGCCGGTCACATGCAGGCGGCTTTGTGGTTAACCCAATTCCACTAGCGTGGGTGACTACGTCTGGGTTTCCTATTACCGTGACATGACAGCCAATACAGACCTCTTGAAGTCTGCCGTCATCCATGTTTTATGACACCAAACTCAAAGCCGTGAACTGCCCTCAGGGCGAGATGGCCAGTCTAAGAAGTGCCCGCTCCTCCTGGCCATTCCTGGCAGATGACCAGCTCCCCAAAGGGCCAAGGAGAATCACTTAAAAGCTGTGCTGCGCTCAGCAGAGCAGGGGAAAGATGTTATTTAAAAAAGAAAAGTCTTCATGAAACCATTTTGCGCTGCTGTGTTTTAACTTTTAAAATGTAGCGACAGGATAGAGGCGTGAGGCGTCTGCATTTCTCAGGCTGTCAGCACCACAGCTGATGAAGCCGGCTGGGCAGTTTTCTTTCTCGGTTAAGGTAATCTGAAGCATGGCATGTCATCTGTGACGAACAGATGCGTACAACTACATGCACAGCTTTGACGGTAACATTCTATTTACACGCTATTACTATCATACCAGTAACCCTAACCGTCTCTTTCTAAAGCACAGAGACATTAAGAGAAATAATAACTAGGAGACTGGTAAGTCTCACGGTACGTAGAATTACCTCTCAATTTTATTTTATGGTATGTGATTTATATCTACAAAAAAGGGGAAAAAAAAAAAAGGAAGAATCCTATCAGATTTGTATATTGAAAAGTGAAAAAAAAAAATCCCATACCTGGACTTCGCTGTTTGCAGATCTGAGTGGCAAGGTCTTGCACGTACCCCGGAAAATAGTCAAAGCAGTCTCCGTAGGACACGACTTTGATCCCACGCAGAAGCATGTCTGCCTGCTGCTTAAAGAAATGGTCTTCACTCTCCTTGAGCACAACCATGTAGTGCTCCAAATCCGCCTTGTCCGGCACCGAATAAAGGAAGAGGGCCTGGAATATCTGATCACGGAGGGTCTCTCCGCAGCCCACAAACAGAAAGGATTTGGTGCGGTACAAGTTCTGAAGAACTTCCTGTGAAAGAACCAACGAGGAGATCGAGATGCTCATCTGAAAGTGAGTGAGATCTTACGATGTAAAGCTAGATATTTGTGATGTTAAATCGTTGCTCCCTAACCGGCCTTTCCCAAGAGCCACAGAGGAGCAAAGTTAGAAAAGCAGCAAAAGGAAGGGAGCCCCTTCCTCTCCAAGCCAGGGCAAGCGGCCCAGGCCCCAAATCCACGTCCCCAAATCCGTGCAGATGCGCTACTGCCCACCCCTCCCCACCCACCATCTTGTCAGCGTAGTCACTCAATTCAAATCTTCTACATTTATGTACAATTTTAAATGATTAAAACATAAAATAAGGGCATGAAATTTTCTTTCAGCTCCGAGCTGTGCATCTGTAAGGCCCTGGAACTGACCTCTGTCCCAGTGAATCACAGGTGGGAACTCTGCGGAGAGGGGCCTGGCCTCGGAAGAATAGGGTTTTGGGGAGCACGGGCAGGAGAGCTGAGGAGGGGACCAGTGACAAGGACCCAAGGGAGTGGGCGTAGAGGGAAACAGAGATTGTTAGCGGGGTCACCAGTTCCGACACCCAAACGCCTCAGGGAGAGGTGCAGTAGCGGCAAGGTGAGGGCGTCCCCCCTGTGCCCGGGGCAGAGGGCGAGGGAGCGAGGGCCTGGCGCTGCGCTCAACGGCGCATCAGTGAGGACCTGTGGTCTCTGAAGCGCCGTAACAAATGGCAGGCAGTTTGTCCACACCTCACTTGTCCAGGACATCAGACAAGCCTCACAGAGAACGAAACTTTAAAACTAGGATTTGAAAGCTAAAAGAGATTGCTAAATAGAGAAGGGGAAGGAGATGCCTGAATGAACAGAGAAAAAAGATGAGTAGAGAGGAGTGGCCAGAGAAGAGCGCTGCAGGCCGTGCAGGGGCCTGTGAGTCACGCTGAGGCAACGTAACTGGAACCCTGAGTAAGAGGATCACGGAAAGTCCACTGAGCGTCTATTCAAGGTGCCAGGCCCTGTGCCGGGCCCTGGAGACAGAGCTGAGAGCAGCGGTGTGACCCGAGGGGCAGGAGGCCTGGAGGCCAGGAACCTGCTCAGACCGCCGCCACTGCTGGCTAGCGCCGCCACGCAGCCCCAGGGGTACGACCAGTGCCTAGTCAGGATGCGCATACCATGACTTCCGGGTCTTGGGTAACGTCTTTGTATCCCGATAGGTCCAACACCATCCCGCAGGGATCTGTGTATAAGCCGTGAATGTGAAGAACTCCGTATTTGATGTGTCCTCTAGCCCACTGAAGGACCTAGCAAAGCACAAGCCAGACAGAGGAAGAACACTGGTGTTTAAAACAGGTGTAAGAGGAAAACACCCACAGTGACTCATGGCCTCTCAAACCTACCTGGGAAACAGGAAGAGATGCTTCAGTTTATATCCTTAAACCTAAGAGAAACTCAGGTGTTAAATGCTAGCTATTCCTGTCCTGCCATATCGAAAAGAACTTCTTCAGAGACCGACACTGTTGTGTAGAAAATACCTTTAACATCTCAGATTATAGCACACGGTCAAGACTGATGAGTTTAGGGAGACGACGAAGGCTTTCACTTCTAAGCCACGTGTTTTCTTTTAATTACGGCTAGGTATACAATGTTTGTACACCCAGAAAAAATATACATATACAGAAAAAATAATTTATCAAATAGGAGATGCACATCACGTATATTCCTGTTATCTCCACGCCACGGGCTCTCCCATCAGCGGGCCGGGCTGACGACCCCAGACAAATGGACTAACCCCCGCCCCTGCCCGCCACGAGCAGGCAGAGGAGCCAGCACTTCTGTTCCCTGCCACATGCAGCTTACTTCCAGAGGCCCTCGGTACAGCAGGGAGCAGCCCCGCAGACGGCGCCACGCTGCTCCGACACGGGAGCAAGGTGTCCTGCCACGTGTCACGGGGGGCCCGCTCGAGGCGTCGCCCGGGGCCCCATCACAATTCCTCGGCCAAGCGCCGGAAGACAGGCTGCCTAAGGGCAGCTCCCACACCTCCCCGGGTCCCGAGTAAGACAGCATCGCAAAGGGCCTCGATGACCCTGCGTGTGGAGCGGGGCTGGGACCCCCTGCCCGCCAGCAGTGAAGCAGGAACAGGCAGCGGCCGTAGCCGGCAGGGATCGTACAAATCCACAGGCACACACGGCGCACAAGAAATACAAGGGATGCAACGAGACTGTGGCCAACCTTAGCAATAAAAGAAATAAACGCGTAAAATGTGCACCTTTCCAACAGGAGAAATGTGTCTTGTTAGGTTTTTTAGTAACGCCTCGTGCTGGCAAGACATGGGAGACGGAGAACCCCTCACACAGCTGCAGGAGTGTAGACTGGAAATCTTTCTGGAGAACACGTGGGTGATTTACATCGTTTGTCTTTAAAATGGTCATACCCTTTGACCCTAACAAGTTCTCCAGGAACTTATCAAAAGTGTAGGAATTTTCACTGTAGCATTATTTATAGTTGTGAAAATATGCTCACAATGATAACTATAATCTAGTCTCACAATGAAATTACGTTTAAAACCATGCTTTTAAAGACAGTCTGATGACAGGAAAATGCTCACAGTAAATGCTAAGGGGAAAATGTCAGCACAAAAGCTTGGCGTGCGCTGCAGACCGGTGTGTTCATTAATAAATAAACAAGCCAATTAACCAAAATTCACAGCGATAGGACCGCAGGTGATCTTGCTTTCCTGAACTACAGCCTTTACCACCCACATCTCCTACAACGACAGAGCCCTTGCGGGTGTGCAGGACACAAGCAGACCGGAAGCCGGGGCAGGCAGACAAGGGCTCCTGAGGAGCTGGTGGCAGCGCCCTGTCCCAGGCCCTTCGTGTCTCGTTCCAGCGGGGAGAGGAGCCGCCGCGAGCAGACAGCACCCTTCCTATGACAGGCCCTCTGCTGGGAGGTGACAGCCCGTGCCACACCACAGCAGCAGTGCAAACATGCCTGCGCCTCCGCCTCTACTCCCGCCTCCCGCCCCGGCGGCCGGCCCGCACCTTGGTCTTGTCCTTCAGATCCAGAGACTCCATGGGCTTGTTGTGCTGTTGCCCGAAGATCTCCAGCAGGTTGTCATAGTTGGTGGTCAGCACCATGGTGCCCCTCTCCATCAGGCTGAGGATGGACTGCAGCACCAGCGGGCTCTGGATGTGCTGCTCCAGGTTGTCAAACACCTCCAGCAGGCAGTCCTGGAAGAAGCTGGGCTTGGAGTCGCCCGTGCGCTATGGAGAGGTGGACCCGGAGTTACAAAACCGCCAGCTCTCAGCCACCACCGAGCACCTAGGCAGGTGACAGTACTCTAGGCACCAGGGATGCAGTCGTTTTTTAAAAAAGGGAAAACGGCTGACCTTGTAGAGTTTACTGAAACCCTGGGGGAGGGAGGCAGGTAACGTGCAAACACGTCAGCAGTGATACACGCTGCTGGGAAGCCCAGCGGAGAAGGGGGCTCGCTTCCGCGCAGCAGTCCTGGGACGGCCTCCGGGCAGAGCGCCGGAGGGAGGGAGGCAGCTCTGGAGAGGGTGGTCCAAGTGGGGGAGGAGCCAGCGCCAGGCACCAAGGTCAGAGCACAGGTGGGGCCGAGGGCGGGAGAGGAGTGAGGGCACGTGCCACAGGTGAGGCCAGACAGCTGACCTGGAAACAGATCACGTGGGGCCCTGAAGCCCACAGTGAAGACCGGGGCTCCCTCCCCCTCCGCCTCCGCGGGAGCCACAGAGGCACTGGCCTCCTCCGCCTTGCCGCTCCGGGGAACTGGATGAAAGGCAGCGTGTCATGCTGCTGAGAGACCGAGTGGGACTGGGTCCCCGGATGTAGCACCAGAGGTCACTGGTGGCCTTGACCAGAGCGGCTTCAGGGGAGCCCGGCCGGGCTGGGTTCCAAGGGGAGGTGAGCGAATACGACAGCCCCTGAAGAGCTGTGCTGTGAAGGGGTTCAGAGAGATGGGGTGTGGCGCCAGGAGGATGCTTCACGCACTCCCAGCATGAGCGCCCCTCAACCAGCCTTGCCGCAGGGCCAGCAGGACGGCGGTAGAGCCTGACCCGTGCGTTCACATGAAACGCCTCTGCCGGCCCCTGCCCGCCCCCGGCACCACCGCCATCGGCCTCAGGAGCGTCCACCAGAGCCCCGCCACGTCCTCCCAGGTGGTCGCTCATCCCAGGGCTCGGTGCTCCCTCTTCCGAGACTCTCCTGTCCCTCCCCGCTCTGGAGACCCCGCACTGTTCCCGGGCTGCACCCTCGCATCTTCACGCGCTTCTGTGAGCCTTCGCCTCCTTCTGCCCTGAAGACCAGCTCCCCACATCCCTGGCACCGCACACTCCGGACCAGGGAGGATGCGAGGGTGGCACCCACTCGCTGCCGAGTCTCTCCAGCTGCGCTTCTGTCACAGCTCACGCTGGGTTCACATCCACGCAGCTGATCCTTCCTATATCACAGCCTCTAAATTCCTCCATCACCCTCCTCCAGCGATCCTGTCCCATCTCCGCCATCCATACCCCAAACCTTATCATGACCAGCAGCAGGACCCTTTCCAGAAGCCCTGGCCGGCCTCTCCCTCCACCTGCCCAACTCTTAGCACCGCGGCTCCCAGGGGACTTCACCCCACCGGGACCCACGGCGCTGACCCACTGTCTCTCCCTCCCCCGCCAGCCTAACTTCTCCCATCACGCAGCCTAGACTCCATAATGTAACACTACAGTTACTCCTGAAATTCGCTTTCAACTTCCCCGCCCTTCCCTGCCTTTGCTGGAATCCTTGGGCAAAACCCCAACCCTGGGAAAACCAACTCTCCACTTGCTCTGCACCTGTTCCCAACCCGCTGAACACGAGGAAAACGCAACCATTCTGACTGCCTCACTTGAACTCTTTTTTTAATGGAAGTTCTCAAAAATACACAAAAGTAAAGAGGAGAATCAGATAAAGCTCCAAATATTCACCTCCTTGACTAAACAAGCATCCACCTGGCTGGCCTCTATTTGAACGAATGGCCTCATCCGAGGGGTCCTTCTCTGGTCCATCGACTCTGCCCCTCCCTCTCCTGATAGGGCTCAGCAACTTCCTTTAGAAAGGGCCCCGGAGCAAGCTATTTTAGGCTTTGCGGGTCACAGTCTCTGCTGCCAATACTCGACTCTGCCCTGAAGCATGAAAGCAGCCGCCCTAGACGCTGTGCAAAGGAACGCAGAGCTTCACTTACAAAGCAAGCAGCACCAAAACCCTGCCCCATGGTGCTAGTTCCCCATTAACACAACACCCGTACCTGGCATCGTCACCCAGACTCTGGTAAAGCCATGGATGGCCACATGTACAACTCCCGCCAATGCCATGCAAACAGAGCGGCTTGCACGTCAGCCCCCGTAAGGGAGGACGCACGGCCCCTCTGTCCCCTCCCCACTAGCTGGCAGGCACACATCATTTACGGCAGGAGTCGGGGCAGCTAACCTTGAGCATGAGGTGCGGGCTGCACGGTGAAGACGGCGGAGCCATAAACGGGGGCCCGGGTTCCCCACACCGTCAAGCCCCTGTGCTCCGCTGGGGCTGCCTACCCAGATGTTTAGGTGAGAAATGTAAACGCGATCACAGTCGAGCCACGTACTTTTGGGTTTCTTTCTCCAGCAGCCGAAGTTCTGCATACTAGTTCTCAGGCTTTCTTCTCGGTTAACCCTCAACATCTATCTCCCCACCCCAACTCTCAGATGACGGCTATACTTCTTCAACAAACCTAAGGGGAAGAAAGCTGCCTCGGGCCTCGGCCACACATCTAGCTCCCTGTGTGCGTCCTGTCCGATGACGACCTGGCTGTGACCTGTGTGAGCTCAGCCCTTTCCGCACCCGCCCCACTGGCTCCAGGGCATCACTCGGTGAGTGTCCCCTGTATCACCAACCGCTCTTCCTCTGCTAGATCCTTTCCACCTGCAGACAAAGAAGCTCCGTCTTCTCCCATCTTACAGTGTCTGGGAAGCCCCGGTCGTGTGAAGGGACGCAGCTGGCCTGCCTGGACCAAACACAGACCTGTCTGCCCTGTCCCTTCGCTAAACGAGGGTGAGATCACCAGGCTGGTCCCCAGAGCAGCACGGCGACCTCCCTGAGACAAGCCCCCTATCCAGGCTCTGTTTAACAAGGACTGTTTTAGGAGCCCACACTGTGCTCGGCACCCCCTCTGTTTAAAGGGACGATATTCTGATGAACTGAAAGATTTCTGGCTTGTCAGCCCAACTCAGTGAGAAACAGACACGATGCAGGCTTGGAGAAGTCCAAACGCTAGACTCATTCACCAACCTGGCCCACAGCCAAGCTGTCCCCAGTGAGACCTGACGCACTTGTGTGAAAAGACTTACAGGGGACATCTTCCGGATCAGGTCATGGGCGACAACCAGCAGGTCCCCGTCCTTGGTCACCTTCCTGCGGAACTCGGCCACGTCCCCGGGGTGCAGCACCTCGAGCTGCTCCGCGGCCTCGATGATGGCCTCGATGCAGCTCCTCCACGAGCACAGGGCGGGGATCCCTGGGGCCGCGGCGGCACTGACTCCCGTCCCCATGACCAGGAGCAGCTCCTGGGGCTGTTTCCGGATGAGGCTTTTTAAAAACTTTCTACTTAAAAACAAGGGAGGGAAAGAATGAAAGCCAACGTGGAAGTACTGCAACCACGAAGAAAACAATGCAGTCTGGGAACATCCATGAGGTGTCAGGTCAAACACAGCCCGTGCTGGACACAAACACACACGCAGCGTCCCCCCAGTTATACTAACCGCAAGACGGAGCCTGTGTCTTTTTCTTTTTGGGTATCAATCTCACATGTTCTATCCTCATTCCTAAGGGACTTGGGACAGTACTGTCTTCTTCATCTCGAGTCCCCCATAGTGTCGAGCACACGCTTAAGTGATATGTATTCGTGCACAAGAAAGCTCAGCAATTTAAATTCCTTTGAAACTGCAAAGGGCTTGTAAATGCAAACTGTGGGGATGAAATGATCCCCGATCACAGGACAGGAAAGAAAACTCCTGGCAAAATGCTGGTCCTCTGCAACCCACCCCCCGGCAAGCACCTCCTTCTCCTGCATCACTTCACAGAAGTGTAACCCGCCCACTCCCAGTCAGAGGTTTCTTTCCTGTGAAACGTGGCACCCCCAGCCTTAGACGCGACCCTCTGGTCACCTGCTGCTCGGTATGGAGGCCAGGCGACAGTCGCCTCCTTGGGCGGAAAGAGAGCTGCCCCTGCGAACGTTCCTTACTTTGGAGCAAAGGGTAGTTACCTGGCCCTGGAGACGCCCTCCCCAGCTGGTGTTCTCACCTCGCTCACCCTCCCAGGTACCAGATAACATGTAAGGAGACTTGTGATGGAAGCTATACATCCATCACTGTTTGAGGGTGCAGTTGACTTCATTTACCTTGATTTTTGTTCACTTCTGTTTGTTGTCTTTTCCACGGAATCCATCTGTAAATCCTAAAGAGATTCAGAAGCAATCGGTCAGAAGCAACTTCCACTTCCCAGATGAAAGTTCTCTTAATAGTACCCTGGAAGAGAGATGAGGCGGAATTAAAATCAAAGGTCTTGGAGCTTTCTTTAAATTAGAATAACTGAAAAGCATCGTATACAAGAACATACATCCAAAATGGTTCCTAAGCCCCCATTTCTAATTCTGTGACTTAACAGGCCAGGCAAAGTCTCAGACCCTGATTCTGCAAAGCCCGACACTGGAAGGGAAAATGAAGGGAAACTAGTGTGAGGGAGCGCAGGTGGTGCAGCGGTTCAGCGCTGGGTGTTTTCACCGCCCCTTCATGACTCTGCTCCAGAACCGCTTCCAGGTGACACGAACACAAACGACTTATCACGGAAGGAAGACAACGCAACGGCACGACAAAGTAAGCCACACACGGGTTTCCAGGACTGTCCGAGCTCTCGGGGGCACCAAGCAGTGCACTGAGAGGGACCAGGACACGCCCAGCAAGTCTTCTGAGGAGACGCCAGGCCCCCCTTGGCCGTGCTGAAATCCAGTCCAAAGGAATAACCGAAGTAAAAGGTCAATTCTTAGCTTACATAAAACGCGACTCTCGAATCAGCCAGGTCTCTATTGCCAGACTATCTCCGTGTTCTATCATTTTTCCAGAATCATATCCCCCCCCCCCAATTCTCTACCTAACATTTACTGCAAAGAAGGAAATATACAGAAAAAAAAAAAAAGATTAAAAAGCCCATAATCCTACTACCTACAAGCAATGACTGTTAGCATTTCTAGAGTTCCCTCTAGACTTTTTCCTTTAAAATTTTTACATCATTTGAGACCATAGGTCATATCCTACTTTTTTCATGCATTTTAATAAAAGTATTTCTCTTATGTTATTCAAAACTATTCCTAAATATAAGTGTAATAGCAACACACATGAAATTCTATCTTACTGATATGCTATCCTTTACTTTACCTACCTCCCCAATGTAGGGCATTACTATAACTCTGACAACCATCTCCGTGCACAAAGTTTTCGTCTATTTTGAAATTATTTATTTAGGAGAGATTTCTGACAAGCAGAACTGCTCAGTTAAAGAATATGAACTCTGTAAAGTATCTCAGCACATTACCGCCAAACTGCTTTCCAGAAAAGTGGTCAGCAGAATACGTAAGTGTCTGCTTTGCATAGCCTAACCAGCACTCATTGAAAACCACCTTTTCACATGCATAATCTTTTTTTCCCCCCTAAGTTAGAATTAGGTCACCAAAAATAATTTCCCAGGGGAAGGAACCAAGGCTTAGTCACTCTGTGAGCATCGTTAGACTTTAAAGCTAAACAGGGTGGCAAGAATATCCCCTGGAAATGTACGAAGAGCTCTGTGTAGGCGCCTGTGCACATGTCCCCCCCGCCCCCGCTCATGGGAAAGGGTTCAGAGCGCCCTTCAAACTCCCAAAGGTGTCTGTGACCTTCCCCCAAATGTTAAGAGACCAGTCTGCAGGCGAGGAAAGTGCGGCTCCCTGATGCCCGTCACCTGCCCAAGGCTGGCGCTCGGCCCTAACTCCTTCCCACTGTGGAGTTACTATCTGAGTCATCAAAGGTCAGGTTGTTCCATTTCTGTTTTTATCTACTAGATATTTCCTAAGGAAAGGAATAAATATTGAGGTTTTCCACTGTATTATATAATCCCGAGAATAAGCAACCTTGGGCCCCGGCCAGGAGATTTCAATGACTGACCTAATTATTCATCGATCCTCAGTTTTAACAGCTATGAAATAGGAAATCCTGCTAACTGACCGAGTTTTGAAAGCTTGAGAACCTCTCATAGGAAAGATGCTCTGGATTCAACCTCTGGAGTCACAGAGCTCAGGAGGCCGCAGACTTCCTTTCTCAACCTTCCACCGCATGACGGAACTCAGAGTCCTTCCTGTTCAAGCCTGTGTGAAAGGTTAATACAAGATGCTTACTGGCTGACTAATCCAATTGCCCCCCAATCCTGCTCCCCCAAATAATCTACATCACTTGAAAATAGTTACTCCTTCCCACCTGGAAAGGAGTCTTTTACCTCATCCTGCTCTACAAGACATTTCAGAATATTTTTTGAACAGTCACTGGTCAACCAATGGCTTAAGAAATCACATGCCCCAAACTGTCACCATTGTGAAGAACTTTAAAAATCTCTCTCTAGTTCTTTCAATTATTGCTCAGCTGCTTTCGATGCTCCATATATGTACGAAGATAGATACAAATGGAAAACCTAAACACTGCATTTACACATCTGCAAAAAAGTATGAACAAATTAAACTTTTGTGGGCTGGACTTAACTCCAGAATTAAGTGATTTCAAAGTTTTCCAAAAGAACAAGTTACCACTGCAAGCACTGAGCATGTACGGAACAGGCGACAGCTTGCACTCCTGGCTGGTGGCTTGCCGGCTTGAGCGTTCAACACCCGCTCTCCTCCTGAGCGTGATGAGAGCCTGGCGCTGGCTCTGCAGCACTTCCAACAGAACCGCACACGCTCCAAACTCAATAGGCAGGTGAGCCTCCAAGCTTTAATACCGATGGGTGTCTGTAAGGATCAAAGTAGCCAACACAGGAAGTACCCAATTACATTAAATCTCAACACAATAACTATGTAATGATGAACTGCACAGCTGCCCATATTTAGACATTTACAGTTCATTGTAACCCTGCATGTTGAAAGACATTACCTCATTTCCTGTTCTTTCAGCAGCATAATTACCTGAGCCAAATCTCACAATGACCTAGAAAGTACCCCAACTCTCTCCTTGTTTTTAAACCAAGGGCCAAGCAGGAGATCTCCCTCCAAAGCACTCAGTGCCCGATCCTAGAAGTTCCTGTAGGTGGGCAGGCCTCTGGGGTTCTGCTTACATCCCCAACACCAGTCCTCCAACCCAGTCAGGTTCCAGACAACAGGAACAAAAGCCTTCAGAGACCTTTTAGACACGGCACCTTTTGGCTTCCTTGGTGACCGTGTCGTCACCACACTTTGCAGGCCCAAAGCCAAGTCACCATGGTAACCCATTTTTTTTTTCCAGGACCTATCAGCATTTTCTGAAAGCAAAATCAGGCCCCAACACAGATTTGTATCAGCAGCTCCTGTCCTTTTTATTTAAAGCCATGAATAAAAGTCTGAATAGGATATTTTCTGCTTAAAATCGGAGCTCATGAGTATTTAAGAACTTCAGAGTAGCCAGAGACTGCCTTACTTATCCTTTGAATCCCTAGTGTCCAGCACTAAATAAATGTTCACCAAACTGAGTCTAATGCAAAACAGAATAAACTACAAACACCAAACTTGTTACTTACAGCTAGCAAAACGAAGTCCCGCTCCCCAGCTCCCTAACTCCACTGCACCAGACTGTCAGTGACCTCCACGACCCGCTCCATCATGCCTCCTGGTCCCCGGGCCCTTGTGCAGTCAGTCCCACTCTCACTGACTCTGGGCTGGGTCATGTGACTTCTTTGGCCAATGGGATGTCGGCAAACAAGCAAGCGAGCCTTTGATAAGCATGTTGACACTGGAGCCTGTCCTCTTGGAACTCAGCCTCCTAAAGCCCAGTCTAGCCTCCTGGATGGCCACCGATGGAGAGCACACCAGCTGACAACCCAGCACCATCCACTCGACAGGCATGAGAGCCTACGAGGTACCGTTCAACGCCAGGCAAGCGGCCAGATGACCACAACTGCGTAGGCGACCCCAGCGAGGCCAGCCTGAGTCCTGCCGAACCAGGCCCAGGTGCTGACCTACAGAACTGGCCGTTCTTTGAAGCGCTCATCACCATTCTACACAGCCAGAAAGAGCAGAGGGATGGGATAAAAGACAAAAGTATCAAGACCAAAAAAAAAAAAAAAAGCACAGATCAATGAGTGAAAAGGGTCCATAAAGTTTTGAGGGGGGGAGGGAGAAAATATTTGTCAATAATAGTATTTTAGGGACTTCCCCGGTGGTCCAGTGGGTGAGACTCCGCGCTCCCAATGCAGGGGGCCCGGGTTCCATCCCTGGTTGGGGAACTAGATCCCACGTGCATTCCGCAACTAAGAGTTCGCATGCCACAACAAAGATCCCACATGCCACAACTAAGACCCAGTGCAGCCAAATAAATAAATAAATATTTTTTTAAAAGAACAGTATTTTATTACAAGTAGCATAATAAAAAACTTAAAACGAATCACTTTCTATTATAAATTACACCTTCACTTAAGTACAAACCCTGAATTAGAAGTTTCCAGTCTGTGGGATCCTCAAAGATATTCTTAAGAAAACTTAACTTCTTCCTATAAATAATCACATGGGTTTTGAGTGGTATATAAGAGCATGGAGATGAGAGCTCCCAAGTTGTACAGCCCCCGATGACAATGAAGGAAGAGGGGCCTACAGTAGACATACGCTCAAAACATATTCCTCTTACACAGGGACATCGCAAATATTCATGAAAATTTCCAAATGCTCGCTTTTAACTCACTTGTACCCAATCCATAGTGATGGAATAAGATGCTCCCAGAATTTGTGGAAAACGTCAGGTCACTGTGACTACAAATGACTTGATTAATTTAAAGGCCTGGCAACACAGCTAGCTCTGGTATTACACTCTGCTACTGTTACAAAAGTAACCCACACTAAGAAATGATTTATAAATCTGCTACTCACAGGAGACAGGAGACCTGAAATATTAATACTAGTATTAAATGGAACCCCTGTAGCCAGTGTGGTTCCTAAGGACTGGAATGTCCTTAAATGAGGCCAAACCAATTGCCCTGTGACTACACCCAGGCAGGTCTGGAGGCCTCCGGCCACCAAGCAAGCTCTTCCCAGCTCCATCCGAGTATCGCAGGAGTGCCTGGGGCTACAGCTCACTGACACTGACACACCTGGTCCTTAACATCCTCCTCCTCACCCTTTTCTCTAACTTGAGTCCCTCCAACTGCCTTTTTCATGGCAATCTGGTTCCCGGTGTTAACTTGGGAGGGGGGGCCACAGAAGCAGAAATCATTCGGCAACAAGAGGAAGTTTTCAAGTACATTTGACAGACTTCTAACCACTAACGAATCATCTGGGATCTAGTTGGTAGAGGTATTTCTGGCGAGTTTGGTTAGCCTAAGTAGGTTCATCTGAGCTGAAAACAAGGTGCAAATGGACCCTGAATAATTAAGCTTCCAGAACTGCAAAGGAGAGGCTTGCCCTGAAACCACAACACCTGGGGCTCTGGTGGAGAAAATACAGAATCTGGAGACAGGAGACACCACCATATCCCCCAGCCCCGAGATCGCTCTGAACCTCAGTTTCCATATCTGTCAAATGGGAATGCCATCATCCACATCACTGATTGCTGTGAAGGTTCTGAGCGAGTTAAATATCTGAAAGGCACTTAACCTTAAGACGTTTATCTATTACTATAAACAACCTCAGCAGCCAGCTGCTCTCCCTCAGCAACAGGAAGCTTTCAGTTCAACACTACTTCTCCACAATGACATATTCATTTAACCTGGATTCTGGTAAAACTTAACCCAGTCATTACTAGTAAGAGATCTTCAGGATGAATTGTTTTCTTCAAGTTACAGGAAATACAAAACCTTAATTTGAAAACATGCTACTTAACGAATCACTTTTTATTCAGTCAAAATAAACTGCAGGGGGAAAAAAATCCTTATTTTGTAATGATCAAAATGTGCTCATTTGCTTCTTGAAACCAGCGCCTCCAAACAGAGTTGCTTGGGCACATAAGCTCAAACCGAGAAAACAACAAAACCCGCCACTGATAAAAAATTTAAAGGCCACAGTTTAGTTCAAAAAGCAACATTAATTGCTGACACTTTCTACGCCCCCGTTAGATTCAAGGGCAAACACTAGGCACCTTATGTGCGTTCTCACGTAAAGCTCTCAACAACCCTGTGACGCGGCTCCTCTTACCTCTCACCTGGCCAGCGCTGACATTAAACCCTTTTAAGAGGCCAGCCACCATGCTAAATGGAGTCTTGCACGTTTTCTCCAATTATCAGTGCAGCTCGGGAGGGCAAGCAAACATACGTGACATTGTACCAGGAACACTGCCAACGTCTGAAGTGGTCACTGCTTAACAGTCTGTCCATCAGATGTGACAGGCTTGCACAACTCAAATAGACACGTTACGTAACAATAAGCCAATAACGGCTTATTAAAATGTATCAGTGCAGAGGCCAAATGCTGAAGCACCAGCATTTATCCGTCCCAAGAGGAATAAGAGATGTTCTAGAAAGTAAACCTCCAGTGAAATCTAAAATGACAGAATTTTAGAGCTGGAGGGATCTTAAAGGTTCCGCAATGTCAAATACCCTAAATAACAGATGTGAAAATTGAGACTGAGAGGCAGTGACTTGGTCAAGGTCCCCTAGGGAGTCCGGGGACAAGCTATAAACTCATTCCTGGCTTACGTCCCATACCCTTGCCACTACCCTGGGCACCAGCTGGCCCACTGTGACCCCAAAGCTTCATGTGAGGTGCTCATTTGTGCCTCATTTTACGGCCATATCTTTATAAATACCAAGCCACACAGTTTGGCTGATCTGCAGGTTCACCTGCTTCCTTGCTCCATTCATTTTCCAGAAATTCTAAGAGAAACAGCCAGCATTAGGAAGATACTAGAGGCAGCAAGAAGCCTCGGGCGAAACAATGAGCTCAGAAGAGCTTTCTGTTTGCTCCGGGCTGGCAGCTTACCACACAGCTGTCCGGTTAACTTTAGCAAGCAAATATAAGATAAGGAACAGATAAGGAGGGCTCAGCTGGGAAACAAAGCCACCACTGGAGAGGACTTCATTCTCCTGGGAAAGAGACCTTGAGGCTCTTTGAGGGAGGAAGTAGGATCCAGCAGAAAGAGTCCAGGCTTAGAAGTTAAACAACCGTATCAGCTGTACTACTTAATATGGGGTTGAGTTACTCCGTCTCTCTGAGCTGTGTTTCCTTCATCTGTAAAAAAGGAATAATATCTTACATCTCAGGGTCGCTGCAAACACTAAAAGGGGTAACACTTAAAACAGCAGAGCCCACAACAGTGCGATCCCCACTATACCATGTGCACGCGATGGGTATCCTTCCTGGATTTAATCAATTGAAATTAAATAAAATTTAAAACTCAGTTCCTCGGTCACACTAGTCACGTTTTAAATGCTTGACAGCCACACGTGCCGAGTGAACTGGACAGCACAGATCCAGGGCGTTTCCATCATCACAGAAGGTTCTACTGTACAGCGTCATCGTACCTGGTGAGTCTCCCTGCCCCTCACCCAAGTCCAGACCTCAACAAACAAAAGTCCTGTGGATTTATTCTCAATCGATCTCTAATCCATACCCTCCGCCATGCCTTGCAGTCCTCACAACTTGTCTGGACTGACAGCCACCCTGCTTCCGGTTTCAGCCCCTCGGGTCCCACACTGTCTCCAAAGTGACGTTTCTGACACAACACATCTGAACTCGTCTCTCCTTCAAGGGTTTTCCAGTTCCTTCAGGACCCCCAAGCCCAGCTTCCAAACACTCCGTGATCTGGTTCCACTTCTGAGCCCCAGCCTCTCCTCTCCCTGCCCACTGTGCCACATGTGCACCTCCGGGGTGGATGCTGGGCTCACTCTGACACGCAGTCACCCTGATGAAGCCCTAGGTGACCTACCTATGGGCAAAAGACCAAAACCTCCCCTAAAAGGACTAACAAGTTCCCAGCATCAGTCCCCAGGCAGAAAACGGTGGGCTGAGACAAGAAAGAGCTGGAAAGGTCCTTGGGGTCTAGACTTTAAGAAGCTTAGCCGTGCTTGAGGTCCTCGCTGGCACCACCTGGTCCAGGTCACCTCCACCTCTCCTGTGGTCTTGCTTCCTCCAAACAATTCTCCCACACCAGACCCAGCAATTGTTCAAAATCACAAAATCCCTCTTCACTCCCCTCCTCAAACCCCTCGATGGCCCCCCACTCCCTTCAAATACCAAATCCTCCACCAGGCTTCAGGAGCTCCTCTTGCTTTGGTCCTGACTACCCTGGCCCAGCCAGTTCTTGCCACTCCACGCCTGAAACCCCGCCCTCTGCCAAGCTTCCCAGTTTCCCCCATTCTGGTCTCCTCTATCCGGAACACCTCCCTCACTCCTCTCCACTGACAACGCCCCCCTTTCTTCAGCTTGGAGCTGGACCATCACTCACGCAGGGGGATGGGAGAAGCAGTAATTCAAGAAAGGGCCAAGGGCATGGTGGGCCTCAGGGAACAAAGCTGGATTCTTCCCACTTAGGATTCCCTCTAATAGCCCCTGAGGACCTTGCTCATGAAGGAGGTATTACATCTCCAGCCACGCCCCCAAGATGAATCTCTGCTCCAGCCCACTTCTTGGTTTCCAAAATCTCATGTGCTTTGTGGCATGCCTCTCTACCTTTTCACATACTGTCCCTTTGCCTGGAGTGACCCTGGCAAACTTTTTTTTTTTTTTTGCGGTATGTGGGCCTCTCACTGTTGTCCGTTGCGGAGCACAGGCTCCGGAAGCGCAGGCTCAGGGGCCATGGCTCACGGGCCCAGCCGCTCCGCGGCATGTGGGATCTTCCCGGACCGGGGCACGAACCCGCGTCCCCTGCATCGGCAGGCGGACTCACAACCACTGCGCCACCAGGGACGCCCCCTGGCAAACTTCTTTATTTCAACCTTCAAGAATCAGCTCACCTATTACCTGTCACTTTTCCTCCCCTCCAAGAAGCTCTCCATAACACCCCTTCCTGAGAATCTGACCCTCACCCCAGCTAAGTTCAAGGCCATATAAAAACTACCTAGGTGCTTAACTACCGCCCTCCATTGTGGCCCTGAGAGCAGGGACTGTGTCTTCTCTGGCTCCAGTGCCAATTCCTGGAAACTTAGTCTTTTGGGTCTAGACTTTAAGAAGCTTAGCCGTGCTTGAAGAAGCCACGGTCCTCACTGCCACCACCCTGGGTCGAGGTCACCTCCACCTCTCATGTGGTCTTGCTTCCTCCAAACAATTCTCTCCCACCACAGCCATTTAAAGAAAAAAAAAAAAAAAAGTTAGCTCCATGAATGACAAAATTAGGAGACAAGCTCAAAGCGTCCTGATCCGCCCCAAGGCTCTCACCTACTTAGCTGGGCCACCCTGCACCACATCGGATCTGTTTTCTAGGCGCTTCTGTGGAGCCATGAGTCTCACCGCAGAGCATGAAAATTAAACCCTGTCCTGCTCTGGCCTCAATGCAACAGTAAACACGACGCCACGGCCTGCGCTGAGGTCACACCCCCTACCTGGTTACAAAGGGTCATCAGTGACTCATATGCCTCTACTTCTTTTCTATTATCAAGAATTCACAAGCCCCCAGGAGCACTTTCACGGACACCGCATTGGTCCACGGACCTCAGGTTTGAGAAACCCAGCATCGAGACCAGCAAGGAGAGGGAGGCAAACGGCAACTGAACCTCGGGGCCGGTGGCAGAGGGCAGGGCAGACGCCGAGGGTGGGGACGGCGGCCCAGGGAGCCGGGGGAGGAGCTAGGGAGAGATGGCGCGGAAGGCCTCAGGGAACCCGGGGATGGGAAAGTCAGGGACGGTCTCGGGGGTCCTGAGGGAATCTTGGGGGGTTTCTGGAACCGAGGATCCTAAGGGGTCCCGGGGCCCTGAAACGGCGGGAGGGCCTCAGGTGGTCTCGGGGTTTAGGGGAAATCCTGAAGGGTCTGGGGGCTCGAGAGTCCTGAAGGTGTAGGTGCCAGAGGTGGCCGGGGACTCCGACAGGGTCTCGGGGGCCGGGGCGGATCCCGAGGGGTCCTGGGGGCTGGGGCTCCCGAGGGCGGGTGAGACGGGGGTCTTGGGAACCGAGCTTCTGGGGTCCTTGAGGCGGCCGTGGATCCCGAGAGAGGCCGGGGGTCTTGAGGGGCTCTCCATCCGGCACCCCCGGGCCTCCCCAACCAGCCAGCTCACCCGCGGCGCCGCCGAGACGCTGGTCGGAGCTCGCGCTCCCGCCGCCTCCTCCCGCTCAGCGGTCCAAGTCTCCGGGGGCTCCGGGAGGCCGCGCGCCCCTCGCGCTGGGCGAGGCCGGGCGGAAGTCAGTCTGCGTGTGGGGGGACGGCGCGCGCACCCGGAGCCGGAGCCGGAGCCGGAGCCGGAGCAGATGACGCGCAGCCCTCAGCCGCGACTCCCACGGAGGCCGGCCGCGGCGTTTCGGCAAAACCTTGCCCCGTGCGCCCGCCCTCGCCGCGCGAAGGTTCCGCCCCAAAACCAACAGCTCCCTAGCCGCCGGCCCCGCCCTCCGCGGAGGCCCCGCCCCCACCTCCGGCGCAGTCGCGGTTGAGTGCGCCGAGGGCTCTCTCTGGGCCGAGCCTTCGTCCGCGCTCCGCCTGCAGCTGCTCACCGCGCGTTCTCAGCTTCTTCATCTGCAAAATGGGCGCGGGCGCACTTTGCAGGGATATAGAGACCATTAAGTGCAATCGGAGGCGCCTCTCTGCAGCCAGGCCCTGCATCACACTCATGCACAGCTTCTATTCTCCAACCCGAGTTGGGTCCAGACCCGGGCCAATGTCGGGTCTCCAAACACGCCCTGCTTGCCAAAGACCCTGCGGACCTAAAATCGCCAGTCCCCTCCCCCAACCCCGCGTTCTTTTCTTTCAGAATTCTACCAGAAATTACGTATACTTGTTGTCTCTCCCCAGCTCCCCGGGAAGGCCGGGACCTTGTCCGCCGTGTCCATCCCTGGGTACCCAGAAGCTAAAAGGGGGCTGGGCACACGATCGGTGCCCAAATGTGAATGAGTGTCCACCCGTGCTCTTCCCTCATCAAGAAATACTCTCACCCGGAAGCTGAGAATGGGACCAGCTTGGGTTCGACTCCCGTGAGTCCCAGTGACCACACGCCCGTCCGTGTCCCAGGTTCCGTGTCTGTAAAACCTGTGATGCTAGTGCGCGCCTCCTGGGGTGGTTGAGAGAACCAAATGAGATTGCGCATAGATGGGCTCGGCACAGCGTTACGCAGCTGGTTTAGTGTCCCCTAGTGATCTTATTATTCTGGTGGCCCCCTCCTCCCATTGTCTGCCCCTGGAAGCCCTTCCCTTCCCTGAAGAAAACCTAACCGGATCAATAAGCCACTTCCTCTAGCCAGCCGTCCCGTCCTTCCTGAGTCCGCCCTCCCTGCCCTGCCTTGCCCAAGCAAGCCAGAGTTAATGGCTATTTCCTCTCTCCTCAGCACCCCCCATCCCCCCACCCCCACCCCCCGCGGGTTTTAAAGTTGGCTAACAAACCCCACCCCACCCCCAGCCTACAGGGAGCCTCCCATTCGTGAGGGAAGTCGTGCTTGTAAGTTTCAAAAGCCTGTGAACTTTTGGGGCCCCAGAGCCCCGAACACCGTGGGGGCCAGTGAGTCAGGAGTGAAGGAGGAGCAGAGATGGGCTTCCTATGTGGTGCCAGGCACTTACCTGTGTTCCTTTAGTTCTTGGAACAAGGTGAGGAAGTCGCCATCGTTATTATTCCAGATGGGGAAGCTGAGGCACATTTAGCCACCACTGCCTGCAGCTCCTAATGCCCTGTACCCAGGGTCGGAACACAGTGCAATTCACTTCCTGAGCACCTGTGCTGAGTGCTGGGCACCTGTGTTACCCGAAAACCAGGTTCACCTCTTGGTGAACGTGGAGCCAAAAGACACAACTAGGGCTTCCCTGGTGACGCAGTGGTTGAGAGTCCGCCTGCCGATGCAGGGGACACGGGTTCGTGCCCCGGTCCGGGAAGATCCCACATGCCACGGAGCGGCTGGGCCCATGAGCCGTGGCCGCTGAGCCTGCGCGTCCGGAGCCTGTGCTCCGCAACGGGAGAGGCCACAACTGTGAGAGGCCCGCATACCGAAAAAAAAAAAAAAAAAAAAAAAAGACATGCCTGGTTCTCTTTCTCTGGGGACCCCCTAACCTATCTGCTTACACCTGGATCTGTAGGAGACAGCCCCTGCCCTCAAGGCCCCCAGGCCCCAGCGTGGACCTTGATAAACAGAACCCTGTGGGCTCGGTGCTGTCAGAGGTCAGACCCAAGGCACAGCGGGGGCCCCGGGCAGGGTGTGCCAGGACGTTGGAGCTAGAGTAATCATTTCAGCTCCAGGCGAGGTGCAGGCTGGAAGTCTCAGCCCTTCCACCCAAAAGCTCAGCTAGGCAGCCTTACAAGGACAAAGCCAGCAGAAGGGACACCTTGGGAACAATGCCTTCCCCTCCCCTCCCCCATATCCAAGAGAGACACAGCTTCTCTCAAGCTGTGGAAAATTACTGGGAGGCACTGCCACCTGGCCGCGTTGCACACTCTCAGAGCAGATAAGGCAGTGGCGGGGCAGGTAGACACAGAGCCGGCATGGTGCTGGGGTGCGGATGTATGTCACATGGTGTGGGCGCTGCAGGGTGTAGGAGTCCGCATCCCAGCCTCCACCCACGGGTGTGAGCACGTCTCATTCAGCGTGTACTGAACCCAGGAGTGAATATGTGTATGCGTGAACCCACAAGGCTCTGTTCCCTGGACAGACCCCACTCACTTCTGTGCAGAAGTTGCTCTCGCGGACATGCTTTTGTGTGCGTGTTTACACTACTGTTTATTGAGCACCTACCACGTGCCACGTGCTTAACTCTCCATATGCATCTTACCGCACCATCAGTCGTCCTATGCGGTAGGTATTATTATTTCCCTTTAACAGACTGAAAAACAGACACTGAAGACTTACAGTAACCAGGCCAAGCTGGAGGGTAGGCAACTGCTGGGAACCGCTGCAGGACATCCCTGGCTACAGAAAGGGCATGGTGTTGGCAGAATGGAGAAAAGGGACAGAGTCACAGGCGGGCCCCGGAAGAGGGAAAAGACATCAGGGATGAGCTGACAATCCTTCCATCCTAGAAAGGAAGTTGTTGTTCTGTTGCCACGGAAAGACCCACATCATAACACAAAGATGCCCTGCACGGGTGTAAAGGCCTGAGGTATGCATACCTCTGGACCACACCCTACGTAGATAACATAGATAACACACACTACGCCCCGTATGGCTTGTGGGATTTTAGTTCCCGGCAGCAAAAGCACGGAGTTCTAACCACTGGACCGCCAGGGAATTCCCCTACCTTCCCCCACATCAATTTCCTGTAGAAACTCCTGGTGCTGTACCTATGTCTGGGCAGGCTGGCAGGTAGGACTGTGATGCCAGTGCTGGGCAGCCGGTGGGGCGTGTGTAGCTAGCAGGAAGGCTTTGCTGGCAGGAGAAGGGAGGAGGGAAGCTTGGAGAAGCCTCTCTGGCCCTCCTTCTCTGCTGTTCCGTCTGCCCACACCCAGGTCCCAGCTCAGGCCTCCTCACCCCTGGCCTGGAAGTTTGCAACAAGCCACTCTGAGGTCTCGGCTCACCAATCCAGGCCCCTGCTCCCCAGCAGCCATGATAAGGCTAGGGGGACCAGCATGAATACCTCCTAGGAGCTGAGGACACAGCAGGAAAATAGCCCCTGCCCTCATGGAGCTGACGGTGTAGAAGGGAAATGGGCAATAAACACATGTCACATGCCTAGGCCCGTGCTCTGCAGCAAGAGAAGCCACTGTAATGGGCAGCCCACGCACTGCAAGGAAAAGTAGCTCCCGCTCACCACAACTAGAGAAAGCCCACACACAGCAATGAAGATCTAATGCAGCCAAAAATTAATTAATTAATTAAAAAAAACATAACCATTATTAAAATTTATAAAGAAAAAAAACACGTGTCAGGGCGTGGGGAGGCTATAAAGAAAAGGGAAGTTGGGTCAGGGACAGACACCACTATGAAAATAAAAGGGCAAAACACGGGATGGGAGCAATTTGCAAAACACGTATCTGACTAAGGACCCAATCTAAAATATACTAAGAACGCATGACTCAATAATAAACGAACAACCCAGTTTTTAAAAAACTGAGCAAAAGCTTTGAACACGTTTCATCAAGGAAAATATATGAACGGCAAATAAGGACCTGAAAAGGTGTTCAACATTATTATGGGGAAATGCAAATCAAAACCACTACACACCGCCAGAATGGCCAGCATTTAAAAGCCTGACCATATCAAGTGTTGCCGAAGATGTGGAGGAGCTGGAACTCTCACACTGTGTGTGGGAATGTGAAGGCATACAACCACTACACACCTATCAGAATGGCTAAAATAAAAAACAGTGCTGTACTTCCCTGGTGGCGCAGTGGTTAAGAATCTGCCTGCCAAGGCAGGGGACACGGGTTCGAGCCCTGGTCCGGGAAGATCCCACATGCGGAGGAGCAACTAAGCCCGTGCACCACAGCTACTGAGCCTGCACTCTAGAGCCCACGAGCCACCACTACTGAAGCCCACGCACCTAGAGCCCATGCTCTGCAACAAGAGAAGCCACCACAATGAGAAGCCCAAGCACCGCAACGAAGAGTAGCCCCCGCTCACTGCAACTGGAGAAAGCCTGCGTGCAGCAACAAAGACCCAACACAGCCAAAAATAAATTAAAAAAAAAAAAAAAGGAAACATGCACTTCCCATGCAACCCAGCAATAGCACTCAGGTATTCACCCCAGAAAAATTAAAATTATGTTCATGTAAAAACTTTACATACATGTTCATAGCAGCTGTATTCATAACAGCTAAAAACTGAAAACAGCTCAAATGTCCTTCAGTGGGAGAACAGATACACAAACTGTGGTCCATTTACATCACGGGACACTTACTCAGCAGTAAAAAGGAATGCACTGTTGATACCTGCAACAACTTGGATGGGCCCCAAGGGAATTACGCTGCCAGAAAAAAAAAAAAATCTCACAAGGTTATATGTTGAGAAAAGTTGAGAAAATCACCTCCTCCTCCAGGAAGCCCTCCTGGCTATGCCAGCCCTGGTTGGGTGGGGAGGGGAATCCTACCTCTGATTCTTACAGCATTTCTAGCATTTCTGGACTGAACTGTGTGTCGAAGGACAGACCATGCTCTGTCCAGGGCTCTGCTTTGACAATTCCTCTGTGCATTTCTATTCTGACCGGATGGGTGGCTCTGAGTTTTCCCAAGCCTGGAGCTCAGGGCTTGGTTGGATTTAACTGAATGACATCACCTCGTGATTGATTAGATCTCAGAAAAAGTCACCTGTTTTGGAGCAACCTTCACAAACATTCTGACTCTCTTTGCACAGA